TGTGTGTGTGTGTTTGTGGCTGTGTTTGTATGTGTGTGTCTGTGTGTGTGTGTAGATTGTGCGCTTCTGTGGGCCTGACAATTCACCTAGACATGAAATAACTGTGTGAAAGGTTATAGTCCTCATAAGTTATATAAACCAGATAATATCCCTATATGTGCCATAACAATCAGATGTCATCAAAAGTTTGCTCTAGCTAAAATAGATTAATGTTTTCCTGAATGCGTGGGTTGGAAACTCTGGGATTCTCAGACCTGTAGAACCTTTGGAAAGGCACGTCCCCATTTGTCCTATTTCCGTTACACGTCCTTATATATACTGAAAACACGTATATGTGTGTGTTTGTGTGTGTGTGTGTGTGTGTGTAGCGTTTCAGTATGGAGGGGCTCTCCAACATCCTGCAGACGGGCATCAGACAGACGTTTGGAAGCACAGGAACCGAAAAGCAGGTAAGCAGCTTCTATAAGAAGAAGCTTTTAACTTTTTAACCACTTTAACTTCCACATGGACACAAACGCCTCCCAGGATCCAATATCTGTGTCATTCATGAAGTACTTTTTAAAGGAATTGACTTGAGCAAGCTGGGTTCTTCATAAACAAAAAATCTTTATCTAATTAAAACGTTTTAACAAAAAACGGTTTAAAATACAATGTCCTTGTTTCCTAATTACACAGCAAGCACCGTCAAATTAAAAGTCCCAAATCTGAACGACGGTTAAATTACTCCAAACTTACAATAAACATTTCTTTCAATAAATAAACAAACCATACATAGCAAAAATCTAACCATATAAATTCCTACATTCTAAATTATTTCCCCTAATATTCATAATAGCAACATGGCTCTAACAAACTATTTACTTATTTAGCTATTTACACCCTTTTTTTTATGTGATTACAGCTCAAAAGGTTAAATCACACAAGTATATTGACCCAAACATGATATTGTCGGTTTGAAACATTCAGATTTAGTTAATAAGTTAACAGACCTATATTTGATTGGGTTGACATTGACGTGTTTCCCCCTTTACCCCGTCTGTGTTTCAGTATCTAAACACCGTCATTCCTTATGAGAAGAGAGCCACCCCTCCGTCTGTGGACGACCTGCAGATGCTCACCAACAGTAAGGATCCCAGCACAAATGAGATAAAATACATCCAATTTCCATAACTCAAACCCACCGGATGGATCCGCTCACTCTCCTCTTTTCCTTCCAGTTCTTTATGCCATGAAGGAGGACAGCGACAAGGTGCCCACGCTGCTGACCGACTACATTTTAAAAGGTAATTAATAAATAAATAAACGGTAAACCTGGCATCGGGCAGCCGGCGGAGTCTTGATCAACCCAAGTTCCACCTTTTGAACTTCCTGTTTGCCTCTTCTTCTTCTTCAAGAAAACTATACTATTTTTATTATTATTATTGACAATATCACTACCACTTACTTTAGACCTATATATATATATATA